GTCTCGGACTCAAAGCCGGCTTTTTCTGTGTATCCATGAGCTTGAGCACACACTGTGGAGGTGGGGGGTGGTTCTCATAGCTTTCTCAGGATGGCTACAAGGCTTCCTTGAGGTTCTGTCACACGAGTCACTTATGTGACCAAGAGAGGTATGAGGTCCCTTCCTCAGCAAGCGGGTCTTCTATGGCACTAGCCGGGGTTCTTCTCATCCAGCTTAATTCTGATACTACAAGGAGGTGGTGGAAGATCTCACAGGTTGAGGGCTTGTCCCCAAGACTGCCACCTCCCCTAAGATTGCATGTCTGTGTTGGAGAGCCTGTGCTTCTGACAATTCCATGAAGCTTGGCGAATCGGCTTAGAAAAAATGTTTACTAACCTTTCCTAGGTTTTCTGTTTGTTTCTGTGGTGCTGGGGATGGACCGCAGTGCTCTGTCACAGGGTTCTCCATCCCCTTCGGCCCTCGAAGGATTCTACAGAGGACACAGATACAGAAACAGACACTCAGAGAGAGGCATGGGGAAAGAAGGTGCATGGAGCCCTGAAGCTTCCTAGCGTCTCGGGGTGCCACCACCCAGGTGTTCATGTGCTCAGCTGAGCAGAAGCTCCTTGAACACAGTCCTTTTTTTTCTTTTAAATTGAGATAGTATCTGAAGTAGCCCAGGTTGTCCTCGAGCTAGCTACATAGAATGACCTTGAACTCCTAATCTTCCTGCTTCCACCTCCTGAGTGTTGTGATTACAGTCGTGCACCACTACACAGGATTTATGGAATGCTAGAAATCGAACCCAGGGTTTTGTGAATGCTAGGAAAGTGCTCTACCAGCTAAGCCGTCTCCCCCAACCCTTTATTTTAAGTTTATATGGAGGTTTCATTGCAGGGCTGGATTAAAGCCTGAACAACCCCGTGTGTACAACCCCGTGTGTAGAAACTATGACCTGACAAGGAGGCTGTTCGAATGCTGATAACCTGAGAGGGTCCCCAGTGAGTCTTCTTCACCTCGTCTTCCTGGACCTTCCCCATCCCCTCTCCAATATGGGACCCTTCTCAAACACGAGCTCAGATGGGGTAGCTCCGAGAGTTTTTGATGCACAGCTCCCAGATGTCGGATGGCCTGCCTTGGGAAGGGACTTCCAAGCAAGATCTGAGGAGAGAAAGCAACACATGTGTCAGGATATCACAGAAACCATACATGTGGTGCAGTGCAGAGTGGGCATGAGGGAAGGAGAGATTCTAGCTGTTACTTCAGGTGTCAGGGCTGGGGACTTTCAGCTGGAAGATGCCGTTCACTGTGGGGCGCCCATAGTCACTGTCACAGACTGATATGGGAAGGCGACATACGAGTTCTTTTGTTGTCACTGTTTGTTGAGATAGAGGCTTTTTCGATAGCCCAGGGTGGGCTGTAGCTCACTATGTAGTCCAAGTTGGCCTTGAACTCATGAACCTCTGCCTCCATTTCCAGAATGCTGGAAACGTGTGCAGTCACACCTGGCTCCCGATAACTCCTAACATTACAGGTTAATGGGGTCCAGAGGTTCTGAATGACGGTCTAGCCTGCTCATTCTGACCTGAATCCGGTGCTGAGAGCCTACTGGTACCCCGTCAGGGACCCCCATGGGTTTACCAGGTAGAACTCTCTAGAAGGTGCCTGCCTGTGAGGGAGGAACCCCAGTTACCGCAGCAGGCAGCTGCCAGCTGGTGTGGGGTGATCTGAACTTGTTTGGGGTGGTTGAGGCAGCTCTGGGGAGGGAAACTTGGCCAGACAGTGGGTGACAGCTGGGGGCAGGGGAATGTTCCCATCACCCCAGAGAAGACTGCTAGCTCTGCCCTCTTTGGGGCGCACACACTCCACCCCCGTCCGTTTCTGTTTCAGGCCCCTTGGTGCCCCACATCCCATCTGGCACTGAAGCGTTGCCTGTGGGCTCAACCTGCTGATACCTGGGGCTTGTAAAAACAAACATTTTCAAGCTTTAGATAAATGATTTGATTTTATACTTAATCGTATTGTAAACATTCAACTTCAAGGCCTCCAGGTAAGGCTTTTAGAAAACTTTCGACTTCTAGATCTGTCTCAAAGAAGCAGGAACAGCCCTCCCCCCTACAGCCTCCTTGGCACACACACCTCTGGGCCTGTGAGAACAAAAGCTGCGGGGCCTGACCTACACCAGCTGCCAGCAGAAGGCACTGGATCAGAGGTGGCGTGTGGGGCACCACCATGGACCCGGGTCTATGAACTCATTTGACAGCCAAACAAATAAGAACTTAATCTAAAGCCCGGTCTACAGCAAAGGCCAGGGCAGTCAAGCGTGTATGATGAATGAAAATAAGAAAAGACATGTGGAGTCTGAGGGTGTAGCTCAGTCGGGAGAGTGTGTGCCGGGCACACACGAGGCCCCGAGTGTCATCCTCAGCACCTCAGAAACCAGGAGTAATGACAAACACATGTCATCCCAGCACCAGGGAGGCAGGGGCCGGAGGATCAGAAGGTCAAGGCCGTTCTCCCTTACACTGAAAGTTCAAGGTCGGCTTGGACTCCATGGGGGCCTGTCTCAAAAACAAAACAAAAAATAATAACAACAAAAGACTTGAGCATGTCTCTTGTACCCAGTTCTCAACATGCCTTTCCTGAGTTTTCTGGGACCTTGTGCTTCAGAAAGCAAACCAGCAAACGCCCTGCTGGCCTCAAGCAGACCCGCCTTCTGATGTCACAGATGGCAGCGAGGTTCTGAGGAGCAGAAGGTCAGCTGCCCAGGTGACCTCCATGTCTAGCCCAACCAGTGATCATCGGACATGTGGCGTCCAGGGGCCAGAGGACCTGAATTTGATTTCATGTCCCAGAGGACGTTCCAAGGCACAGGCAGCTTAAAGCCCGTCTGATGGCAGCAACATCTCACCTCAGGACTCATCTGAGGGCAGTAGAGGCTCCTCCAAGGTCACACCTCAAGGTTTCCCCAAGTTCAATGTTTACCCAAGGTTACATGAGACCCCAGCCTCTGCCACAACTGACTGCTGTTCTCTTCTTCTGACATCCCTGTTTGCTCCTCACTGACGCTGTGGGAGACATTGCGCCTTTCCCAGCCGTCACGGCCATTCCCCACTCTTACGTCTTTTTTTCTCATACTTTTTTTTTTTCTATGTAGCTCAGACTGGGTTCAAACTCGTATCCTCCTTTCTCAGTTCCCAAGTATTGGAATCGTAGGCACATACCACCAGTCCCAGAAGTTGTTTCTTTTCCCTCATTTATTTTTTTTTTGTTGTTTTTTTTTTTTTGTTTTTTGTTTTTTTTTTTTTGGTTTTTGAGACAGGGTTTCTCTGTGTAGCTTTGCGCCTTTCCTGGGACTCACTTGGTAGCCCAGGCTGGCCTCGAACTCACAGAGATCCGCCTGGCTCTGCCTCCCGAGTGCTGGGATTAAAGGCGTGCGCCACCACCACCCGGCTTATTTTTTTTTTAATGATAGGAGAATCCTCGTGCAGGTGTGAACGCATGCTTCTTCTAGACCATTTCCGTCTGTCTCGGGAGCAAGCTATTTTCCCCATGTGTATGTGGTATGTTTGTGTGGATACATGTTTTTTTCATGTGTGGGCACAGGTACATGTGCACATGTATGCATGTGGAGGCCCAAGGTTGATGTTGAGAACCATCCTCCACTGTTCTTCAACCGTATTCACTGAGGGAGGGTCTCCCCTTTATTCACTGAGGGGAGCCCTTCCCTTTATTCACTGGGGGAGGGGCTCCCCATATTCACTGGGGGAGGGTCTTCCCTTTATTCCCTGGGGGAGGGTCTCCCCTTTATTCACTGAGGGGAGCCCTTCCCTTTATTCACTGGGGGATGATCTCTTGCTGAGCCTGCGCCTTGCAGGTTCCAGTTAGTCTAGTTAGCCAGCTCTCCCAGTCTCTGCCTCTCCGGGGCTGGGATTGCAGACAGCAGCTATACCTGATTGGCTCATTGGGTTATGGGAATTCAAACTCTGCTCCTCATGCTTGCATGGCAAATGACTTATCTCCTGGGCCACCTCCCCAGCCCAAGACTCTTAATAGTTGAAAGTGATTTTTTTTAAGAAAAAATTTTTTAGATGTTTTTATTTTATGTGTATGAGTGTTTTAAAGGCATGTATGTATGTTCGCCCTGTGTGTGCCTGGTGCCTGCAGAAGTCAAAAGAGGGTGTCAGATCCCCTGGAAGTGGGAACCAAACTATAAGAGCACCAAGTGCTCTTAAGTACTGAGCCATCTCTCCAGCCTCCTAAAATTATATATATATATATGTGTGTGTGTGTGTGTGTGTGTGTGTGTGTGTGTGTGTGTGTGTGTGTGTATGCAAGTTACAGAGACTAGGAAATAAGTAAATTACAGGATTCAGAATAAAATCCTTAAAGTTACACCCAGCCTAACAGGTAGAGTTGTTAGTAGCCGGGGAGATAGTCCAGTCAGTAAATGCTTACCTTGCAAGCATGGGGACCTGAATTTGATCCCCAGAACCAATGGACAGAAACCAGGTGCGATAGAGCACGCTTACAATCTAAGCACTAGAGAGGCAGAGACAGGCAGATCCCTGGGACTTGCTATCCAGCCAGCCTCACCTATTTGGTGAGTTCCAGGCTAGTGAGAGAACCCATTTCATAAAATAAGAAGGTAGATGACTGCTACAAACAACACCTCAGGTTGTCCCTTGGCCTAAACACACATGTGCACACTTGCAGGGATTGTATCAGGTTTGTATAATTGGTAGTGGTTGTAACTCCCAGTAGTTGAACATAAATAACCTGTTGTGTTGGTTGGTTGGTTGGTTGTTTTGAGTCCTGAGCATCATGGTTTTGTTTTTCTGTTTCTCGTCCTTGCTGTCTTCCTTGAAGTAACATGCACAGGTCTCTTCGGGTTGCAGGAACAGGTAACAGTGCATTTATATTGCTGGGAAAGGGTAGCTCATTCAGATGTGAAAATGACAGGGAAGGCCTCATTTGTACTTTGGTCTCAAAGACAATCCTGTCCCTTTGTCTCTCCCCAGATCACATAAAGGAGCCAGTGGAGGACACAGACCCCAGCACTTTGTCCTTTGCTATGGTAGGTGGCAACTTTGACTTTCCATGCCTTGTTACATCACACTGCAGTCACCAAGTATTTCCAGGAAATCTCAGAAACCCCAAAGTCATGTTTTCCAAAGATACATTTCTTTCTCATGGTATCCTCTGTAGCATCATCATCTCCAGGCTAAAAACAGAGTTAGATCCTGTGCTCAGGATGTGGCTCAGTGGATAGAGTGCCTGCCCAGCACACATGAAGCCCTGGGTTTGATCCCCAGTACTACATAAACTGAGTAAGGTGGTACACACTTGTAATCATAACACTCTGTAGGTGGAGGCAGGAGGCTCAGGAGTCTAAAGTCATCTTCAGCTACACAGCAAGCTTGAAGCCAGCCTGGGCTACATGAAACCTCTTCTGAAACACAGGAATTTAAAGTCATCTTCAGCTATATAGCAAGCTTGAAACCAGCCTGGGCTACATGCAACCTTCTCTGAAACAGCAACAAAGTAGTGTTAGAGCCTCTTCTTGCTTCATGCATACCAGCAGTGAACTTCTTAGATGTTCCTAGGTCTTTGTCTGGTCTTAACCTTTAACATTATCTATTTTTAGTTAACTTTCTTTCAACATTCAAAATATCTAACAAGGAGTCCTGTCCCAGGATTCAAACCCAGGATAGAGTCCTACAACAGTGAATATTGCCCAGAACACATATGTGTTGACCCCAATGGCTGTCACAGAAATGGAGAGAAGAAACATGCCCTCCCAGAATGCACAAAGACAAAAATCTGAGCACAAGGCTGCAGGAAGTTGAAAGGAAGAGGAGCACAGCCCAGAAGGGAGGAAGTGTGGTTTAGCGGTCAGAGCCCAGGAAGTTAAGAGGGGGGTTACTCTGTTTCATGTTCCGACAAGAACCTGTCGACTCTGATTTCATTCCTATCAGCTCCGAAGAGAAACAGCGAGTCAGGCCGGCCGATAAGCCTGAGGCTAAAGACCTGGAGGGTTTAATTTGCTTCCTATTGCAACGCTGGGGATGGAACCTGGGGCCTTCTGCATGCCAGGCAAGCACTCTGCCGATGAGCTAGCTACACCCCAGCCTTCTTCCAAGGTTTTAAACTGAAACCCAACACAAAGCTCTCTTTTCACTTTGATCTCAGAACTGACATTTAAAAATAACTCTCCGCTTTTGTCCGTTTCTGCAGTCAGACAAGTATCCCATTCAAGACACCGGCCTCCCTAAAGGTAAGAACAGTTAATGTAAGGACTTCAACTTGTGAGTAATTGAGTATCTGGAACAAAGCACTACTCAAAATACAGTTTGCTTCATTGAAGGTGGTAAAACAGAAACAGAGCAGCAACTTAGCTCGAAACTGGCACAATTGTCCTCAGAAATGAATTTTCTTATTAAAATGTGTCAATCATTTGATACCAGATTATAAATTGCATTTCACCAGGGATGAAAGAAAGCCAGCCGGGTTCTGTGTTCAAGGAACCGAACTGACTCAAATCTGTTTAAGAAGGAGGGAAGGGTTGGATGTGGTGGCTCCTGCTTATAATCCTAGCGTTTGGAAGGCCGAGACAGGAAGATTGCTGGGAGTTTCAGGCCAGACTGAGCTACACAGTAAGTTCTAGGCCAGCCTGAGCTATAGAGTGAGACTCTGTTTCCAAAAACCAAAAGAGAGAGAGAGAGAAGACAAGGAGGAAGGAAAAGACTGTTAGCTCGGGGTCTCGAGGGGCTTCGCATCCACACATTTAAGGGTGCTCTTGCCTCAGCTCAGAACCTTGTGGCTCTGCTGTCCTCTGGGCTGTTCTTGCTCTTGGGTGACACTTCCTGTTGAGGAAGGAAAGAGGGGCTGAGAACCACCAGTACCCCACCATGGTGTTCAAGATGGTGACGGGCAGGGAGCCTACCCAGAGCCATGATGCATACAGTATGGGTCACATGCCCAACCCTGAGCCAATGGTTATCATCAAGAAGAAGGGGGAATGTGAGTGAGCCCTGAGCTCTGGCTGGGGAAGGCTTGGAGTAGATTTCATTGACACCCAGCAGTGTTTTTCGGTCAGACGAACAGCAAGGGGTTCTTATCAGGCCCCAGAGTTATCTCTTATGACCCACAGCCTCAAGTTCAAACAAGGTAAGGATCGAAAATGGTCAGATCCTAGCTGTCCATGGCCCTGTGGGGTGTCTGCAAAGCCGTCATGCTACTTGTTATATCACAACATTGACCTTGTACCCTGTGGACAACCCAGAGATGAGGAGAAGGGACAATCAGATCATCCCAGCTCTAGGGATGGCAGGGCACCTGGCTGTCTGGTTCCTGCGGCCTGTAGAGCCCCTGCCCAGATGGATTTCCTGATATGTCTCCTGATATGTGGTGGGAATGGGGGAGAGAGTCCCACCAGGGCCGTCAGTGGATAAATCCAGGTTTCGGCCAAGGCACTGCTCTGTCCCCTCCCTGGCCCCAGACACCCCTGTCCCTTAGAGTGACGTCATTAACGTGTCAGTCTTCTTCTATACTGTGCGTGTTTCTGGAGTGACCGTGGGATCTGGGAACCCTGGCTTGAGTGTAAACCATGGCTGTGCTTGGGAGGTTTCCAGCAAGCTCTTCCCCTGCACCTTCTCCACAGTTAAATGGACCCTCATCTAGAGCTCCTCTTTTCTAGCTTACTTGATTCATTTTCAAAGTTAGCCTACAGAGTGAGGAGGTTCATCATGGTGTTGCCTTACATTACATATGTGTCATTATATTCTAATTTCCCCTCCCTTGCAGTCACACCCCCTGCTCCCTCGGGCTGAGTCACTTTCTTCCCCCACATATTCCCTCCCAATTTCACGTCACAGTATTCCATTAACCTTTTTTCCCTTACACACACACACACACCTCCCCATGTGAACACTCATTCATATACTCTCTTTCTGTCTGTCTCTGTCTCCCCCTCCCTCTCTGTCTCTCTGTCTCTGTCTCTGTCTGTCTGTCTGTCTCTCTCTCTCTCTCTCTCTCTCTCTCTCACACACACACACACACACACACACACACACACACACACACACACACACACGAGAATTCAACAAAGGAGATCCAGGTTTTAGACCATGTTTTAATGAGCATGAGCACTCACAGGGATGGAGGGAAGGCTGGTCCAAACTCCACAGAAATCAGTTTGGGGACTGTCAAAAGCTTCTAAGTAGGCTGGCCAAGGGGGAACACTTGGATACATGTCATAACGATCTTTTCTTCTTTGCCCTTGAATGTGATTTCCTGTTTTGAAAGGAAAAGGTCACTGCTTAGCAACCTGATCCTGCACTAGAAATATGGTCAGGTTCTCCCAGAATCTGATTTCTACAACTTTGGTTCAAGTCCTCATACCTTTACAAGAGGCATGACTTTGAATCTGTGCAGCAGACCTTTGTCCTATGTCATGGGGAGTAATATAAAATGCATACTTTTTAAATCTCCAAATAAATGTACCATTTTGTAGGTAAATGAATCTTGGTTAGAAGTTTTAAAATTTGAATTCAATAATAAGGCGATTTAATGTCTGTAGTGTTTTCCTTTGTCTTCCCGAATGAGGACAAATCCACCATTAGACGTTTCCGATAGTTTTCTCATGGGATTTGTTCTTTAAGAGAGGGGAGAGGAGGAGGGCAGCCAGAGGGGGATAACAGCACAGTATAATGATGCTATGTATGAAAATGTGCCACAGTGAAGTCTGCTCCTTTATATGCTGACTAAGAGTTAATGAAGGGCTTGCAGAGATGGTTCAGCCCACAAAGTGCCTGCTGCCCAAGCGTGAGGACCAGAGTTCAGATCCCCAGCTCTACATAGAAGACAGGCACGGGGATTTGAGTCTGCAAACCTAGCACTAGGGGGCAGAGTGAGGTGGAGCCCTGGAGCTCCATGGTCAGCCAGCCTCGTTGAAACGTTGAGCTCTAGGTTTAGTGAGAGACCCTGGTTCAAAAGCAATGAGGTGGAAAGAAGATACCTCACATTGACCTTGGGTCTCCATAAATATATAAATAAGTACATAAATAAATAAATTTTTAGAAAGAGTTATTTTTAGGAATATAAAATTCATATAAAATAATTTAAGAGACTAATTCATGGACCTAAAAATAAACTGCAGTCTAATTAAGTATCAGCTAGAATTCCAGCATTCCAATGAATTGGGGGTGTCTAGTTTACTTAATATAGTAGTCATGGGTAATTAGCTCTAACAATTTCCCTATGGTGGAAACGGCCTCCAGACTCATTTTCTTAAATAGGTTAGGCAAGCTTCCGAGCATCTGTTCTTCTGTCACTAGAGTCCTGCATTATTGGTGCGCGGCTTAGAGCTGTTCTTTAATGCGGGCCAAGCTCGAGTGCTTTTGAATGATGTGGTTTTGCTGCAAGTCATGTGGAAATCTAGGGTAATTTCAGTGATCAGCCTATGATTTATCACACCTACTTTCTCATCATGGGCAAAGGCCTAGCTTCCTCCAAGTCAGTCCCTGTCCCTAGGTGCGGGGGTTTCTGGGGACATTCTGCTGGGATTCTTCTCCAGAACTCCTCTATGATCCTGCAGGTGCTTGACTTGTGTGAGATCCTCATGGATTAGTTACTTTCCTTGTTACTGAGACCAAATCCCTGACACTCCCCCGCCCCCCCCAAAAAAACAGCTTAAGGAAGGACCTATTTTGTGTAAAGTTTCAGGATCCAATCCTTCACAGGGACACGAGGCAGATGGTCACATTACATCTGCAGTCAGGAAGCAGAGAGAGAAAAGTTCTGGCACGGAGCCTGCCTGCTTCCTTTCTCCTTTCTTTTTGGTCCAGGACCCCAGCGCATGGGGTGGTGCTGCCAACATTCAGGGCTGTTCTTCCCTCCTCAGACTTTTCTAGACAAATTCTCATAAACACACTTAGAGGTGTGTTTCCATGGTGATTGTAATTCAGTCAAGTTGATGATGAAGCTGTTCAGCTTCGTTACAGGGACTTACTACATTTCCATCACACATCTCCTGACTTCTCCCAGAAACTGCTAACTTGAGCATCCCAAAGAGGATGTGTATTCCTGTGACATTTGCAAACGTGTTTGGGAAAAAACAGTCCTGGTTTTTCAGTGAGTATTCACAGCAGAAGACAACCGTACACAGACAAGCCCTCATGTATATCAAGGAAACGATTCATCTTTGGCTGGCCTGGTGGTACAGGCCTGTTACTGGGAGGAAGGCTGAGGCAGGAGGATAGGGAGTTCAGGGCCTGCCTGGGCTACAGAATGAGGCTATCCTAGGCAACTTAGTAAGACCCTGTCACCAAACAGAGTAAAAACGGAGCCCAGAGACAAGCTCAATGGTAGAATATCTGCTAAGTATGTGTGAGGACCTTTGTTCAACCCGCAGTCCTGAAAAAACAAATATACAAAAACCTTACCATTTTCTTTGGAGTGCCTCTCTTCTACTGTTCAAAAATATCAGAGTAAATTGAAGATGCTCAGTGCTTAGGAATACTTACTGCTCTTCCAGAGGACCTGAGTTTGGCTCCTGGGACCCACATACTGCCTGTAACTCCTGGGGATCCAACGCCCTCTTCTGGCCTCTGAGGGCAACCACACATACACACAGAGGCACATACACATAAATCTAAATGAAATAAAATAGTTAAAAAAATTTAAAATGCAAAGAAAAGTGATATAGATTGATTTTGTTGATTTTTTTTTATGAATCTGAGCATTCATGTACGCTAGGGAAGTGCTTTAATGTTGAGCTACATCCCTAGCCCAAGAAATTTGAACTTAGCTGTTATTTTAAGCACCCAGAATATACACGTCATTAGATTTTTTTTTATTGTGGTACTGAAGATCAAACCCAGACCCTTGTGCATGCTAGGCAAACACTCTGCTGCTGAGCCACTTCCTCCCAGCCCCTGGAATGTTCATTTTACAACTTCAGCATCACGCACGTAGCCTGCTGTAAGGAATGCTCAAATTAAACAAGTCCTTGACGGTCTTTCCTCCAGACTAGTCATGGATCTCTTGGGGGTCTGGACTCCATCCAGTTGAGTGCTCTTGTTTGCAGCCTGGGTGGGGCCATCCAACTCCCTGATGGCAAGATTTGCTCTTTGGGTACGGGAAGCAGCCATGCTGAGCAAAGTCAGGTTCACTGGCTGGGAGAGCAGTAGTACCCAATGCTTGCCTCCTCTCTGTTTTGATCAGCACCGGGGCCTCAGCCTGCCCTGCCTGCCACTTCAATGCCCTTAGAAGTCATGGGAAAGATAGATCGTGGTAAGGGGAACAGCAATGGAGGGGCAGGCAGGTTACTACCCTGAATCACATCAACCAAGGTGCCAAACAGAATTCTCCCTGGGTGGAGAGTCCCTTCTCTTCTGTAAGCCCCATAAGAGCCACACTTCATCCGTGCTGCTGCCGTACATTCACAGATCATGTTTAGAACAGACCCAAGCACAGGTGGCCCATGTGGTCACCAGGCACACGAAGCACCAAAGGATCCGCTTGGTCGGTGGAACCCAAGGGGCACTCAGCCAGGGTACAATGCTCTCACTGCTAGGACAAGTGGGTGTCCAGAGGCTAACCTGCCAGCCACCCTCCTCTCTAGCCACCTAACAATAGTTTTCATTCTGGGACAAGAGATGGCCTCATTGAGCCACACAGGATAAGTTCAAGTCCACCCCAGGCAGCCATCACCAATGAAGGTCGTTAACCAAGGACATATAATTCATTCTCACCAAATGTCTTTGACCATGGCCTGGCCACTCTATTGATCAGGAAGTAGTTTTGCTCACCTTCTCTATATCTTGTTGATGCTACCCTAAAGGTGACTGGGCTGGCCAAACACATGGTGCCTGACCCTGGCCAGATGAAATGGGGTGCAGCTATGGAGTCACAATATCTATAGCCTGGGAAACAAGGACACCTCACAGTGTACAGAGCCACACCAGGTTGCACTTAGGAACATGGGACAGTTGAGGGAGTACAGGCTGTGAGAGGCAAGTTCTGTGGGATCTACAGGGTCGGGTGTCTGGTTCCCCTGGAAAGACTATTGCCTTGTTTGAATAATTCTATTTGTTGGCAATGAAATGCTTCTCCAAAATCAGCAAAATCATGCTTAATCCCCTCCCCCTAAGAAGAACATTGTGTAGCTGGAGAGAAGAGTTGGAACCTGAACTTGTTCTCATGCAGATCCATCCCAACTTTTACCAGATGTCAAGGCAGCATTTAATTCTGAGTTTTAATTTTAGGTCTTAGACTGGAGTGTGTGCTTTCTTTATCAAGCTGTATATTGTTCTTTTTGCCCCCCAGCCAAGGAGTGTGATACAGTCAGTTCCAGCTGCCCACCAAATTCTGATGATCAACATCAGGTAAGAATAATATTAACTGTTTGTTAAACTGCAAATACCCAGAGCTTTTATAAGAATGATCTGAAAGAGCTTTAAAAATAAAAATAAGGGTGTGTGTAGCAGTGCATGCCTGTAATCCCTCCATTTAGAAGGCAGAGACGCAAGGATCATGGCTTCGAGACCAGACTGTGCTATGCGAGACCCTTCTCTAAAGACAAAACTTGATCTGGGAAGATGCCTGCTGTGCAAGCACAAGGACCTGAGTTCAGATCCCAGCAACCATGTAAACGCAGGCAGGTGTGGTGGCCTGCCTATAATCCCAGCAGGAGGGAGGCAGGAACAGGAGGTCCCAGGAGTTAGCTGGCTAGATGGACTAGTGGAAGTCCTGAGCGCATGTGAGAGGTCTTTGCTATATATGGTGGAGGGTGACGGTAGGGAGACACTGAATTTCAGGCTCTGGCCTCCACACACACTCAGTAAAGCTCCGCGAGGGTGAGTGTCTAAAAGCAAAGAGTGGAATTGTAGCAGTTCTCAGCCATTTCTTTGTTCTCCTTGTTTTGTTCATACGATCTAAGCTTTGAAATCTTAAACCTTTTATCATCAAAAAACAGGGGCTGGGGAGATGACTTGGTCAGGAAAGTGCTTGTCAGGCATGAGGACCTGAGTTCAGATCCCAGCACCCATGTAGAAAGCCAAGCACAGAAGTGTGTGCCCACAGTCCCGGTTCTGGGGGCAGAAGCATGTGGATCGGGAAGCTCCAGGTTCAGTGAGAGACCCTGTGTCAAAAAATAAGCTGGGGAGTGCTTGGCCCTATCAGGTTCACATCTGCTCATTTCTCAATGCTCACCAGCAATGTTGCTTACAGTTCAATCTGCTAAGCTACAGTGAGAGCATTAAGTGTCTCAGAAAGCATATACCTTTAAGACAGGCTGATTCATGCCGTGCCGTCACACACCAAATTGAGTCCTAGCAAGTTTTGTTTAGCAATGCTTTAAAAACAAAACCACGTTTGGAGGAAGAGATGAGATGGAAAAGGACCTGTCAGGTGATGGACTAAAGGTTGAGTTAAGGTGGGCTGAAGATGTGTGTTAGAGTTTGGGCGCCAGCAGGGCCACTGTTAATAGGGAAGTGGCTTCTCTTGGCAGTGGGACAAGGAAGTGTTACAGGAACTGATGACTTTGAGACCTCCTACACTCTGAGAACAGAGGGTCTAATTGGTGGATTAGCTAACTGGCATTTTTTCCATTCCCAAGGGAAAAAAAACCATGATCAATTCTTTTTCTAGAATTGAATCATTTATTTACCAGAGTGGTTGTAGGTCCACAGGAGAATCGGGGTGGAGCTATGGAGATTTCCCACCTAGCACCTTCCCCCCCCCCACACACACAGCCTCCCACGTTGCCAACATCCTCTACCACGGTGGCACAGTTGTTTCTGTCGGTGTGCCCACATTGAGACACTCTCCACCGCAGGCCAGTATGTTCGTTAAGTCTCATTGTGGGTGGTGTGCATTCTGTGGCTTTGGCCAAATAGTTAATGCCGTGCACCTGCTATGACAGAATCACACAGGGTCATTTCACTCCGCTAAAAATCCTTTGTGCTCAGCTGCTCACCCCTCCCTCCCTCCCCCAGCCCCTGACAATTTCTGATCTTTTCATCATTTCTATAGTTTTGCCATTTCCAGAATGTCACAGAGTTGGGATCACACCATAGGGCTTCTTGCATTTAGTAATAGGCGTTTAAACTTCTGTGTCTCTTAATGGTTGGTATCTCATTGCTTTTCTGTGCTGTGCAATATTTCAATTCACTATCTGGATATACCACTGATTCTCTTTTTACCTACTGAGGGATATCATGGTTGTAAGAAATAAATCATTTTGATCCGTTTTCAATATGGGCTGTGTTTAGAGCTCATTAAACAATCACAGATAAGTAGGAAGCATTGGGCCCTTGTTTCCCCCTAGCTGGCCACTGGTACCAGCATGTCCAGATGTTGGCAGTTTATCCTGGGTTGAAAAGTTACAGGGAGCCTGCTATATAATAAAAAATAATAAAAAAGGGAGGAATTTTAAACCTCTGGATATACGTTAAAGCTTTGCCTCCTGAACCACTAGGGTGGGAAATTTAGTGAGGAGTATGCTAAATGAGCAGGGAGATTGTAGCTCCCTGGTGTACCAGACCAGGGGACAAAGGAGGCAGGATGCTTTGGCGGTCAGGGACTTTAAACACCATTGCGTGCCCTAAGTCAGTGGTGCTAACCATTTTGCCTTTCCTCTAGGCCGATGTCAGTTTCTACAGAACTGGAAAATAAAAACGGCTTCACTGTCTCCAGTGTCTTGAATTTGTCATTGCAGAGTGAGGGGCTTATGTCTCACGATGGTTGCCTCAACATTCTGGCCCTTAGGAAAAAACAGCTCTAAGCAGCCGTGTGCAGGTTTGGGCATGCCTAAGTGTCCAGGAGCATGCCTGAGGCTCGCACAGTGAGAAAGTTCAGTTTTGTCAGAAGCCAGTGCCACAGTGTGGCTTCATGAGTGACGGCTCCCTTCTGAGTTCTCACCAGAAGCCGATAAAGTCCGGTTGTACCACGTTCTCTCCAACATTCGGTGCTCTCTGTGTTTTGGCTATTCTAATAGGTGTATAGTGGCTGTTTTAATTTGCATTTCTGTGATGGCAGGTGATGTGGATGGAGTGTCTTTTAATATGCTAATTTTCTATCTGTATATTTTATTTATAAGGAGTGCTTGGGGATTTTGTTTCTAGTTTAAAGATGTATTGACATATTTTTATTTCATGTGTGTGCTGCCTACGTGTATGTAAGGGTACCACAAGCGTGCCTGGTCCCTACAGAGGCCAGAAGACAGTGGAGGATTCCCTGGGTCTGGAGTTACAGTTCTGAACTGCTCCATGTGGTTCACTGCCAGAGCAGCCGGGGCCTTTAACCAGTGAGCCATTTGTCTAGCCTGGTTCTGCCTGTTTTTAAATTGGTCCTTTGTGTCCCTTTGGTTGGTTTTAAGGGTTCTCTGCATATTTTAGGTAGTTCATTATTCAAAGTATCTTTTGCAAATAATTCTCCCCTAATGTGCGGGTTATCTTCTCCCCCTTTTCGACAGGGCCTTTAGCAGAACAGACATAATGTTTAATGAAGTCTGCAGGGACCACTGAATAGGAAAATGTTCTTACAGTGTGACAGAGAACATGGCCAGGGAGACCACTGTGCTAACCTACATGTTGAGGTAGACATTATGATCTTACTTAAAAACCTCTAGAACATACAGCTTTCCTAGAGGGCATCTACCTCTCTAGGTGTTTGGCAGGCCATTTGGATTAATATTTTGTTTCCTTTCTTAGTTAATATTTAAAATGATAGGATTAGGAAGGCATTTTAAGACATGATTTGTTTTTCTTGATATTCCTTCCTTCTCCCCAACACCCTGCACCTCCCCACCCCCAATCTTCCCTCACTTCCTTCACAACAAGTGTGTCCTGTTACCTGCCTCTCTTCCTTAAGGAAGGGGACAGTGGCACCTCCTTTGCTCTTTACCTGAAATCCTCCAAGACAATAATCTTGGCCTGGGGATGGGATTCCATTGATAAAGCACTTGCCTGCCATAAAGAAATCCCTGGGTGCCGTCCCCAGAACCACATGAAAGCCAGCACAGTGGCAGATACCTGTAATCCCAGCACTTGGGAGATGGAGGCAGGAGGACCAGGAAGCTCAAGGTTGCTCTCAGCTGCAAAGTGAGTTTGAGGACAACCTGAACTACATGAGATCTTGTCTCCTTCAGGAGGTCGGGGCACAGCTCCTCAATTCTCTTGACATTTTAGAACATCAAGTCCTTACCCAGGTCCAGAGTTAGTATTCAAATCCTATTCTTCTGGCTAATAATCTGAGTCCCGCAGTTTCCTGGTATAAGTTACTGACTACAAGTTTGAAACCTGGTGATATCTGACTAGATTCCTAGCCATACCACACTGTCTTGATAACTGTAGCTTCATAGTGTGTTTTAAAGTTAGGCAATTAGAGCCCACTGCTTTCCTCCAACTGACTAGTCTAGATTGGAGGGAATCTACTTTCTGTATCAATTTTAGAATCTATTTGTCAATATTCAAAAATAGTTTGCTGGGACTTTGCCTGGGATCGAGTTGACTCTGTAGGTCAGCTTGGGGAGAGCTGGCAGCCTGTATCAGTCATTACTGTTCCTCAGTTTTTCACAGATGGCAGGCACCATGCACTGAGGCATCGCTTTAGGCATCCCCTCTACACCCTGTGAGTGGCCTGATTTCTTAAAGACCTGGCTATATAGCCCAGTATGTTTTGCAAATTCTACATGATGACCTATGTTTGAAGGCCGTATGGATTAATCAGATCTTTACCAGCTTTTCTACTAATCATGAAAATACAGTTAACAGAATAGAAAAATAGACTACCCAGCAAATCATTCCACTGATATCTATGTAGTAAATAATTTCTAATAAATGAGAATTTAATTTTGTTTAGATTGTACATTATTTTTAGACACATATACATATATAAGAAAGCATCACCTGTTTTTAGTAGATTTGACCAAAAAAGTTAGCAGTGCCCTGTGATTGAGCTCTTTAGAGAGATGGCCGTCCTGCTTGTCTTGGCCATTCCCATGCTGCCCCCAGAGGCCTGACATTTCTCTGTTGGGAGCAGATTGGTGTACCAGTCCACCTAAACCTAGAGAGATTGTAGGCTTTTCCTCCGGGTCTGAAGGGCACTGGGCTGAAAGAACAGCCTGGGTGGATGCTACCAGAACTCACCTGGTAAATGCAGGGTGTATGAGTTTCCTTTCTTGTTGTGACTAAAAACCCAACAGAAACATCTTAAGAGAGGAAGAATTTGTTTGGACTCACAGTTTCAGAGATACAGTCCCTCATGGTGGGGAGGGCACGGGGGACGTCCTTGGGAGCATATGGTGGCTGCTCTGCACATTGTGGTGGATCAGAAAGCAGACAGCTAGCAGCAGAGGTGGGTGTACAAAGGCCCGCCCTGAGGG